GTGGAACTTGTGAATATGCTAAAGTCTTTTTTGTTAATATAAGGAACTGTACCATTCACAGGTTGCTCACCAAGTATTATTTTGCTCCAAAGCTATGCAGTATTTGCCAAAACTATTGTCAGCCAGAATCAGGGAAATAATGGTCTGTGTATCAGGTTTTTGTTTAGTATCTCATCAAACTTGCCTTCATGTGACTGAGAACTCCAATGACTCTTTCGACATGTATCTGTAGAGCTGCTGAGCCTCCAGTTTTCTCCAAGTCCCCAGAACTGTTTTTCACTGTAAGTGAATGCTGGAACTGTTAATTTGGCTTTGTGAGATTGGACGGACTCACTATCACTGGTACCTCTGCCTGCCAAAACTAGGTTCCCTGGGAGAAAATGAGAAAAAATTACTTTTCTCTGTGATGAACTTATCACTTCCTTCCTATTCATTAAAAAAGAATCAAATGGAACCTTGTGGGTAAATGGAAATTAAATATTTCATTAAATAGTGTGACTTGAAAGATGAATAACACTGAACACAATGTTATAAGTAACTTCGTTTCTCAATCAGTACTTCAAAGTATTAAATAATTAAAACTGTCTTAACAAAGTTACTTTTCATCAGGGTACAGTCTTTGTAAGCGGCTGAATCAATGCCAAACTATAGCTAAAAATTCAAAAGAAATTAATTCTGCACTATTACTGAAATAATGTTAGGCAAGACTTTGAGAAAGAAAGCTTTAAAAGAAATGTTGATACAACAATGAGAGTACTGACCATTGACTATAAAAATGATTGACAGCCTAAGAGCTCCCAGAAGTTAAACAACCAAAACCTGATTGCCCCCTGGTGGTTGGTTACAGTATAGGTCATTCTTCTGGTAGGTTTGTTTATTTGGCCAAGCATGTTACACACACAAGGAATTTGTTTCGGGTACAGAACCGAGGCAGCCATCTGCGGCGCCAACTTAACCGATGGCTTTAACCACCGGGGCAACTTGGGGATTCAGTGTCTTGCCCAAGGACACTGTGATGTGTGGACTGCAGGTGCCGTGATTCAAACCTCCAACCGTCCGGTTGGGAGACAACTCCTCTATCCACTGAACCACTGTCGCCCTGGGTATATAAAAAGAGGTGTATTTCGGTTGATTTTACAGCTTTGATTGGCGGTCCAATGCTGTCACTCCATTTCTGGTCAACATTGCAAGAATCTGGTTGCAAAAAAGCAAGACGACAGTCGCCGTATTCATTATATTTTAGCTTCATTTTTGCATAGCAGAGTGAAGTGGTGACACCATGTCCATCATATATACAGCATGTCAGTGGTACTGACCTTTTTAATCATTGTTTGATGGACCCATCGTATTCAATCCACTTCTATTGTTCTTTATTCTTCTTTTAACAACATATATTTAGTCCTCAAGGCTTGGTGTTTCACCACTGGAGATTTAATGAACTGCTTACAATTGTCTTTGCAACATAATGGTTAAAATGTGCTGCAAGGTCTGTGTTAGGAACAGGCTTCTTTTAGTTTAGCCTTTGTTATTCTATAAAATTCACGGCACAATACATAGCTCAAACTTTCAATGATGTAATAATCAGAAAGTGTTAATAAAAGTCTGTTCCCCTGGTAGAGCCTCCCCCAACTATCTCAAAAGCCCCTGTAGCATAGTTACACTTTGAAAAGCTACATCTGTACTTTCAGCATCCTTTGCAAGTTGCCTTGGCAACACTTGCTCCAATGATCTAGAGCTGGAGGAGGACAGTTGCGTCTCTCACCTGGGTCACACAGTTCAGATGAAAGGTGGTAATGAGAAACATGTCAAAATGGGTCACTTCTACTTCACCTAATCTAAACAAGCCTTACAAAAGACACTGTGTGTTAGCAGATTCCATCATTTAGAACTTTACATAAAAACTAGAAACATTTTACAGCTGTTAAAACAACCTTATTATTATGCAGCCTGAGAAAACAAAGCACCATTCTAAAAATCATACCAAGTTGGTTTCAAATGAATATTTTTGATTGTTCTTTGCGCTCTTCTAAATTGAGATTTGACATCAATTTCAGGATTTAACATCAATTTTTCCAAAACAACAGTACTAATTTAGCAACACACTACAGTCTGAATTTGGCATCTATATTTCAAACAACACAACTACTTGTATGGAGGACCAAAACTGCCATAATCAAATATAAATAACAAAGGAAATAAATGTACCAATTTTTTAATTATAAATATACATATATATAAAACTTTAGAAAAAGAAATGATGGTGACGCACAGAGGAACCGACCGCAATTCTCACATTACTGGAAGAAGTACGCATAATCAGAGGTAATCATTAATGTTTAAATTTTCACGATTCCTCATACCAAATTTTGACATTTCATTTTATTATCCAATTACATATTAAAATGTTATAAAATGTTTGGGTCACAAAGATCTGTAGAGGCTTAGCCTGCACCAGAACTATATGTTTGCTTTTTGTTTGTTTTTGCAGGATTGAGAGGTTATGGCGTGATGTCTTTGGGGGAGTATTGGATCTCTTTTACTCCAGTTTCTGCAGGATGGAAAATGAAGACCTACTCAACCCAGATGATGAAATCCATCTGTATGCACTGCATTGGAGCTTTTTACCACACATCCAGAGGCACCTGGATTTCTTTAAGGAAGGGTGGAACAACCACAAACTGCGAACTGAATACAATCAGTCACCTTTTCAGATATGGACCCTAAATCAACGTGAGGGGGAAGAACCTGCGCAGGTTTGTTAGATTTTATCTTGGCCAGATTTTTCTCATGGTACGTCATGATAGTACCTT